CCCCGCCCCAGCCACTATTTCCTGTCTGCATCCTGTCTGTGTTGCAGACCTTCCATTTCATGTACGGAGAAGCAAGCAGTCGGCTGTGCCTCGCTGCCTTCCTGGAGTCCAGTTTTGTTTCAGTGGTACCCCACGAGGCTGATGGTAGAGAAGGGACTGGGGGTGCATTGGATGAGGGCAGGCAGCCCAGTAGGGAGATAAATGGTCAGACAAGGCCAGAGCTGTAGACTCAGAGGTTGGGTATTGGATTTAATCAGGTTTATGTGGAATGGCTCCTGCACAGGGATAGTGCCTTGAAAAAAAAAAAAAAAAAGCCAGGTGTGGAGGTGGTGCAGGCCTGCGATCTCAGCTCCTAAAGGAGGCTGAAGGAAAGTGACAGTTCGAAGCCAGCCTGGACAAGTCAGCAGAACCTGGACAAGTCAACAGCAGAGGAGCTGGAGAGATGGCTTAGCAGTTAAGACGTGCACTGTTTACAGAGCTCACAAGCTCAGGTCCCAGCATCCATACCAGCATCTCACAACCACCTGGGACTTTAGCCTCAGGGTGTCCAAGGCCCCTGGCCTCTGGTGCTTCTGCCCCCACCTGCACACACCCACACAGTCACACACAAACACAGAATTACACTTTCGAAACCTTAGCTGGGTGATGGGCTCCAACGCCTTTAATCCCAGCACTCGGGAGGCAGTGGCAGGTGGATCTCTGTGAGTTCCAAGACAGCCTGGTCTACAGATGAGTTCAAGGACGCCAGGGCAGTTACATAGAGAAACCTTGTCTCGAAAAAAACCAAGACTAAATAATAAATTAAATAAATAAAAAATAGTTTTAAGGCAGGGCAGTGGTGGTGCACGCCTCTCATCCCAGCACGGGGGAGGCAGAGGCAGGTGAATCTCTGTGAGTTTGAGGCCAGCCTGGTCTACAGAGTGAGGGGCAGAACAGGCTCCAAAGCTACAGAGAAACCCTGTCTCAAAAAACCAAAATAAAAAAAAAATATATTTAAAAAAATAGGGCTGATCTGGGCAGTAGCCGCACACGCCTTTTTAAATCCCAACACGTTGCGGGACTTTGTTGGCTTACGCCTTTAATTCCAGCACTCGGGAGGCAGAGGCAGGCGGATCTCTGTGAGTTCGAGGCCAGCCTGGTCTCCAGAGCAAGTGCCAGGATAGGCTCCAAAGCTACACAGAGAAACCCTGTCTCAAAAAAAAAAACAAAAATAATTAATTAAATAAATAAATAAATCCCAGCATTCGGGAGGTAAGACAGGCAGATCTCTGGCAGTTCGAGGCTAGCCTGGTCTACAAAGCTACACAGAGAAATCCTGTCTCTGGGTGAAAAAAAGTAGGGCTGGAGAGGGAACACAGTCGGTAATATGCATGCTGCAGAAGTATGAAGTTCTGAGTTCAGTCACCAGAACCCAGCTTGGAAGAGGTGGAGTCAGGAGGACCCTGGGGGCATG